CATGCCATTCCCTTCTGGCCTATAGAGTTTCTGATTAGAAATCAGGTGTCATCCTTATAGAAACTACTTTGTAGGTAACAGTTTTCTTTTCTCTTACTGCCTTTAAGATTCTCTTTGTCTTTAATTTTTGGCATTTTAACTATGGTGTGTCTGGGCATGGGCCTGTTTGGGTTCTTCTTGCTTGGGGTTCTCTGTGTCTCCTGAACTTGTGTGACTTATTCCTTTACCAGGTTAAGGAAGTTTTCTGCCATTATTTCTTCAAACATGTTTTCTATGCCTTTCCTCCTTTCTGCCTCTTCTGGCACACCTACTATTCTAATATTGTTATGTTTCGTGTTATCTTACAGCTCCCTTAAGCTATCCTCCTCTTTTTTCTTTTTGGTTATCTGATTGAGTGATATTTTTAACTCTCTCTTCTAATTCACTGATTTGATCCTCAGCTTCTCCTAATCTGTTGTGTATTCCTTTCAATGTGTTCTTTATTTGTGTTATGTCATTCTTTATCTCATACTGTTCTTCTTTCATAGTTACTATGTCTTTTTTCATGCTGTTGAGCATCTTTACCATCATTACTCTGAACCTTGTTTCAGATAAATTTCTTATCTCTGCTTCAATTATGTCTTCTTCTGGAGAATTCTCTAGTTCTTTCATTTGAGGGTTGTTTCTTTGTCTCAGAGTCAGCTTCTCCTCAGGTTTGTGGCTATGTATTAGGTAGATCCTCTACACCTCTCAATCTCTAGTGCAGGACAGTGTTAAAGGTTGTTTCTTACTAATTTGATCAGGCAAAGTCTCAAAGCCTCCAGAGACGGCCTCTGCTTACAGACTGATAGTTTTCCGACTTGAATTGCCTCCCAAGCAATCATTCTCAGGTGTGGGAACAGTTTTTTTTCAACAGGGTGGGGCAGTTGCTTCTGCCTGGAGGCTAATTGTTATTTTTAATGTTTTAAGTTGTCTCAGGGCAATGTGTTTTCCAATAGGGTGTGTCAGCTGTCTTCCCCCAGAGCAAGTCAAATGTCTATGTGGAAAAGATATCCTCCACTGCATGAAGGAATGACTTGGCCCAGGAAACATGGGGTGTCTTCCTTCTGAGCTCTATCTCCTGAGTCCCCAGTTCTGCTCTCACATCTCCAGATCACTTCACCCTCCCTCTGCCAGAGCACAAGCTGGGTGGCTCCACAGGGAATTTTGTGCATTGGCCCTTTAAGAGAGTGCCTGAATTTTCAGCTGTTACTCCATGGCAGAGAGCACCCTGCTGCTTTTCACAGCTAGATGCTATGTAGCTACCCTCCTCAGTTTTGGTGCTCTTTGCTGGGGGGCCCAGCTTGAGGATTAGATCCCAGAGTTCCCCCACTGCTGAGATATCTCTCCAGGACTTCAGTTGCTGTCTGTGGGTGCTTGGCCAGCCCTTTCCCACCTTCACCCCTCCTACCAGTCTCTGTGTGGTCTCCACTTTCAGTCCTTGGTTATCAGGGTTCTCGCCTGTGAGTTTTCCATTGATTATTCAGGAAGGTTTTCCATATTTTAGTTGTAATTCCAGTTTGTTCCTGGGAGCAAGTCCATGTAGCATCCACTTACTCTGCCACCATTTTTAATCCTCCTACCAGCTATTGAAAGAAGAAAGTATATTAGTTCTTAACAATCTCTTCCAGAAGATAGAGAAGAGGTAATACTTCCTAATTCATTCCATGAAGCTAGTTACAATAATACCAAAACCAGCTAATGAAATTACAGACAAATACCTCTTATGAACATAGATGAAAAAAATCCTCAACAAAATATAGTAAATTAAATCCAATACTCTATAAAAGAATTATATACCACAACCTAATGGACTTATCTCAGGTGTGAAAAGGCTTATTTAATATTTTAAAGTCAATTAACATAACTCATCACATAAACAAGCTAAGAAGAACAATCACATGATACTATCAAGAGATGCAGAAAAATACTAGACAAAATCCAGTACCCATTCATGATAAAAACTCTCAGTAAGCTAGGAATTCAAGGGAACATTCTCAACCTGAAAAAGACTACCTACAAAACAAAACAAAACCTGCAGTAACATCATACTAAATGCTGAAAAACTTAAAAGTTTTTCTAAAATTAGGTACAAGGCAAGGATGTGTCTTTTTGTTGTTGTTGTTAATCCTCATGCAGATTATATTTTCCATTAATTTTTTAAGAGAGTGTGGAAGAGAGAGTGAAAGACAGAGAGAAACATTGATGTGAGAGAGACACATCGATTGGTTGCCTCCTTTTTGTGCCCTGAATGTAGTCTCCCCCAACTTGGGCCTACTAGAACTGAGGATGTGATAGAGACTGAAGAGGCTGCAGATCTGTGGGTGAGATGGGAGGTCCTGAGACAGAGATAGACCACAGGGTGCTGTCTGTGGAGACCACGGAGTGGGTGCAGCAGTGGTAGCCTGGGCTGAAGTCCCTGGATGGAGTAGCACTAGCATCCCACCATCATCCAGCCTGGGAAATTCATCCTGATCTGTGTGAAGGGCCATGCAGTGGAGTTCAGAGTCAGCTTCCAATGGAGTGGTCTGAAGGAATCTGTGGGACCTTTTATTTCTTGGAGGAACTTGTGCCATTGAACAGAAAGGGGACTGGACAATAGGACCAGGAAGGAAGATCAGGCATGCCACCTGGAAAACAGGGGAGTTGCCTCCTTTCCTCTTGCAAAACAGCTGTTTCTGACTCACCTTGCAGTGACCTGATGCAAGGGGAAACAGCCCAGGGATGGAAATCTGCACCATTGCAGCTGGCAATTGGGAGGTGCTAGCAAGCTAGGCAGAGCTGAGGCATTGGAGAGAAAGGAAGTACTCGGCCCTCCTCCTACAGGTTATTGAAACCACCCCCAACACGAGTCTGATCAAACGAACCCAGATAAGATCAGGATACCCTCACTAAGCATAGCTCTGTGGAGGAAGGAAGAACAGCTTAGAACAGGGACATTCAAGGTGTGAGACCTGAGGCAGACCCAGTCTCTGGGCTAAGGAGGCCCACCCACTGGATTACTTAGGGCTCCAACCTATTAGGCCTCAGTCAAGTGGCCCAAGGCAAGGAAGGGCTAGTGATCCATATTGGCCTGCACCAAAGAAGTTCCTGGGAGGCCCAGGTTAGACACATCAAGGGACAAGATTTGACAACATCAGAGCAAAATCCAGCGAGTTCCACAAATAGCAGATCCAAAGGTTTTTGTGCGGGTGTGTGTGATTTCTGTGTGTGTGTGTGTGTGTGTGTGTGTGTGTGTGTGTGTGTGAGAGAGAGAGAGAGAGAGAGAGAGAGAGAGAGAGAGAGAGAGAGTTTTGGTTTTTGTTATTTTTCATTGTGGTTTTTTTCTTGTTTATATTTTATTATTTTTTTATTATTTATTGTTTAAGGTATTACATATGTCTCCTTCCCTGCCCCCCATTGACCTCTCCCCAGCTGTTTCCACCCCCCAGCACATGCCTTCACCCCCCTACTATCTGTGTCCATGGGTTATGCTTATATGCATGCATACAAGTACTTTGGTTATTCTCTTACCCCTCACCCCTCCCACCTTCCCTCTGAGGTTTGATGGTCTGTTTGACAATTTTATGTCTCTGGATCTATTTTTTTTCTTTATTGATTAAGGTATTATATATGTGTCCTTATCTCCCCATTCCCCCCCCCCCACACACACACACCCCAACTCTTGCCCTCACCCCCCTGGTGTCTGTGTCCATTGGTTAGGTTTATATGCATGCATACAAGTCCTTTGGTTGGACTCTCCCCCTTACCCCTGCCCTCCTCTACCTTCCTTCTGAGGTTTGATGGTCTGATCGATGCTCCTCTGTCTCTGGATCTGTTTTTGTTCATCAGTTTATGTTGTTCATTATATTCCACAAATGAGTGAGATCATGTGATATTTTTATTTCTCCAACTGCCTTATTTCACTTAGCATAATGCTCTCCAGTTCCATCCACGCTGTTGCAAATGGCAAGAGTTCCTTCTTTTTATAGCAGTGTAGTATTCCATTGTGTAAATGTACCACAATTTTTTATTTTTTAAATTCTTTACTGTTTAAAGTATTATATATATATATATATATATATATATATATATATATAGTATTACATGTGTCTCCTTTTTCCCCCATTGACCTCTCTACGGCCGCTCCCACCCCTGAGCACATGTCCTCACCCCTCTAGTGTCTTCATCCATTGGATATGTGTATATGCCTGCATACAAGTCCTTTGGTAATTCTCTTACTCAACCCACACCCTCCCCTGCATTCCCACTGAGGTTTGAAGGTCTGTTACATGCTTCTATGTCTCTGGCTCTATTGTTGTTCATCAGTTTCTGTTGTTCATTAAATTCTACAAATGAATGAGATGATGTGATATTTATTTCCAATTGGCTTATTTTGCTTGGCATAATGCTCTACATGTCTAACCATGCTGTTGCAAATGATAAGAGTTCTTCTT